TAGAAAATGGTATGATAGGTATTTATGATTATTATATGTTTTACATTTTTTTTAATCATACACACAGTATGCGCTTGCCGAAATAATAATTTAACCGAAATCTAATTTATATTTTTATATGTCTCTTTTTGATTAAGCGCCATTTTGAATTCGGTATAATCTGTACCGACTGCACAGACTATATTATTACTATCTTTATGGTATTACATTTTATTGCCTTGCGATATTGTTTCACATTGCACAGCAAATTCCCTTTTTTTGGGAGCAGGAGGCTTACCTCCTACGCCTCCTACTTGACGATCGAACAAACTGCTGCTTTGTATCAGATTAAACCAGCCAATTAATTTATTACCTACTGTATTGTTTCATAATCCTTGAAAACGTCAAATTAAAACGAAGTGTACATTTTCCAGCCGAAACTGAGTAGAAAAAACTTAGTCCAACATACATTTCAGAACTATCAACGAATAACAATAAATTACCGAACAACGTCTAATACATTAATATTGTAAAGGCACGTAACTACAAACAAACCATTGGAATGGTTAACGTCTTCGTTTATATATTGAGGGGTGAAAGACTATTAGGTTTAAGCGATATTTTTTCAGCTTCACATGAGAGCTAATTATAGTGTAGCGAGTCTGAGTGCGGCCCTGCGCTGAGTACGGCCCTGCGCTGGAGCATCGCACTATATAATATATTATTCGACAGTACTCGCAAAATGTTTTCATTCGGTTGAATTCGAGACAAAACATACGCTGGTGCTCCGCTATGAACATTTGTATTATTATAAAATTGTAATAAGTGGTATCATTTCACTGCGACAAAACTATAGTTGGTACCACAATAGTATAATCCCCATGTTAAGTCGTTCACGCGAGTTTGAGTCGACTCGACTCAACCTCCAACGCGCGTTTTGGTATGCTTAATCGAAAAAGTAACCTCCACTCAAACGTCCCTCGATTTCAATTTTCCTCATCGGAGTGGAGTAAATGAACTGTCAAGTAATTTGTGATTCTTGAAGAGTAGTTTTTTTTTTAAATTATGATCGTAACAAACAATGCACATATATCACAGAGCACGAATTTTAATAATAAATTTCAACAATTTACAATCGTTGCTCCTTTGTTAGTCTTTCCATGATGAAATGGCAGAGTATACTGAACATTTTTCACTTTTACAGATGACGTTTGGACGCCATTACTAACCAGTGCTGCCAACCTGAAAAACTTAACTTTTAAAAAATCACCTTGTATATCGCGACGTACCTTGAACGTTCCTTAAAACCTCGAATGGGTAGAAGCTCATAAAAAAAAAACTTTTTCAACTATTCAATGGAGTAAACTTAATTGAAGTTCAGTTAAAAACATCGAACTGTTGTGATAATAACAAATAAAATGCACCTTTAATTACAAAGATAAATGTCGCGTATTAAGAGAGATATTGCTTAAAGCAAATAATCTTTCACACCTCAAGATAATATATATTATATTATAAGAGAATGTAAGATTCTTCGTTCACGTATTACGTCTTAGAAGTTTTAGAAAATCTTCCATGGTTTTTATCTATTGATTTTATTTCTAATAAAATGTTTGGTACCGCTTTTCCTTTAATATTATTGCCAAAGACTATTACAGAATAATAATCTTAGTTAGATTCATTGAAACATTACAAACACATGTAACTCGAGAATGATTTTATAAACTTCCAAATTATTAATACAGCAATCCTTGAAAATCGGGACCACAGTTTAAAAAACTTTTAGTATGAAACTTTCAGTACGTTAACAAAAAGTATAATCGAAACCATTGAAGTGAGCTTGGTGATAAGAATTTATCAAAAATAAAAAAACAACAATAAAACGTGAACGAATAATATAAATAACACATTCAACAAATTACATGATTTAAATAAAGCATCCGAATACGGATCTGCCATGACAATTGTCTAAACAACTACACTACGTTGGGTTCGCTTATATCTATCTGACAATAGGTATCAAGAAAGTGCTACACTATTTAAAGAAAAAACTTAATCAATAGATTGGGGCGGTCTTAATACTTACGTAAAAATTAGCGATCAAACCCCACTCTGTTAGTCTTGTCCTTTTTTTTATAACTGGCAACATTTTTTTTTTTTGCTGATTGGCACAGGCTGTCGATCTGACCGTCTATAGCCGTGGACAACTCATTTAGTAACTTCAACAATCATACGTTATCCGTAAAATTAGTTTCTAAAACATACGACACATTACAATCGTTTTAATATCGATTATTTGTGAATTTATAATCGCCCACGGCATTCATATTATGAATTATTAAATATTATGTATGATGGGGTTTGATCTGTAATAATTGAGATTAGTCAAAACTGAGCAAGATTATAGTCTAGAAAGCTTGCTAAATAGTAGAGAGTAGAAAACGAACTAGAGATGTTCGCTAGAGAAACATATCGATTATCGAATCGATTAATGACGTCATAATTGAGATGTTATTATTTACTTACCCTGACTAAGATTCGACTAGATCATTTAACAAAACATGACCCTTTTTTATATTGTAAAAGTTTGAAATGTATGAGCTTTCATATTAATATTGAACAATGAAACATCATACATTTGAATAAGTACCAAATACTTCAGCCGCAGTAGTCGCTCTGTAGATGAATTTCATACCTTTATTAATATATTGAGGTCACTGGTATGGTATTACGACATGAAATCAAACAAGTATTGCCATTTTAATCGATTATACATCAATTAGTAATACTAATGAATATGATTTAAAATAATATCAATTCACTGTTAGCTGTTAATTTAATGTCATCGTCGTTTAGTAATATTAATTCACAAAATATATAAGGCCGTTGGGTTGATGTCATTGATTCTCAAGACTGACATTTTATTCAAACAACCGATATAAGATGTTTAAATATTCAACAAATGTTCAAAAATTTAATAATCTCGAAAAAAAACGGCAATACTTAAACTTCAGTCCGTTGTAACTTCCTAACTTACACTAATATTATTAATACTTATCAGTGAAAAATCACATTATCTATACAGGAGAAACCGTATTAATGAATGTAGCGTGAGATAGATTTATTAAGAAGAATAAAGGTGAAATAGAAGAAGTATCATTATGAATTACTTATGAAACATGAAATTTTCAAGAAGAAATAGACAGGGGAACCTCGCTGTCATGACTTATACATTTCAAGTCTAAGTACACAATACGGAAAAATACTTTTTAAGTTTAAATATTTTTATTGTTATTCCGCTCCACAAATTCCTGTTCGCTATTATTACATACGGTCAGCTGCAGAATGGCATTGATACCTTAATTTTTATTTTAAGATAATTCCACACCTCATTTCAATAAATTAAACTAGATGGCGTTGGTGTTTTAATTCCTACACGCGTAGTAGACAACGACTCGGTATTGATTCTAATTGTTTTTTTTTAAACTTAAGAACAGTTTTTTTATTAAAGTCATATTATATAATTAACCCTACAAAATATAATTTTCATCTAAATTATATTATTATAACATTTAATTATTTTTTATATTTACTCTGTACTGCAATCATTGTGGAAAAATAATGACAGTAGTAATGCAGTGACAGTAGACAAAAGTAATGTTCTATTTCGACGATTGAACAATACGATCATAGACAAGCAAATGAGACACATGTTTTTTAAGTCGTGACTTAAACAGTTATGTTCGAACACTCTGACATACAATTATGTATTATTATTTTTATAGAAAATTTCTAGTTGATGTTAAAAAAAATACCAATTGTGTAAATTAATCAACAATACGATTTTTGTTGATATTGTAAAATATTACAACGCCATCTAGTAGATTAAGAATGTAGGTATAATGTAGCTATCAGAGTCGATAGATGGCGTTACTTATAGGGTCATACGATTTTCTTAACTCCGATATCCATGCACTTCTGCAGCTCACTCTACACCACCGACGGCGATTTTCACTACGAATGCTATTCTAAATGTTACTTCGACGTTTAACTTTATGCTATTATTGTGCCTTTTCATTCCACCATTCGCTTTTCTACATGAGATCAAAGTCTCAATTAATTCTACCCTACAAACCAGCGTAATTACTTCGGTAGATAGAAGAGAAACGCTGGTTGCTAAAGATTAACGGTTTATCGCGTTTTATTAACCATTATATCTAATAACTGATCGACATGATACTGTGAGTGAACTTAAAGGATGTGACAATGATTATAAACAGTTTTATGTCTGCCGCAGAGTTTGCATAAGGCTTCTCCCGTACCCAGTACACGTTCGGAAAAAACATAAGTGAGGTTAATTATCGAGTTACGCACTACAGCAATGTCACTGGTAGTTTTTAAATTTCAAACACTGCTTTTTGAAGGGAAACTTCTAATGCGACTACCAACAAGGTTGCGTTAAACGTTTAACGCTCCTGGGGAGGGGGAATAGAAAGAGACAGAGCGAGAGGGAATGCGCGGCACTCGAACGCATGCGCGTAGTATACCTGTTACAGGCCAGCGCGAGCGTTAACAACGAGTAGCGTCCAATATTTTAATGAAGTATTTAAAATATTATCATTTATTTTTCTATCTATAATTTAAAATATATATAATACTCGTATAAATGTCGCATCTCTTATACACAACATTCCCTATTACAAGGGCAATCTGATTTAAGGATGAAAAATGAAGAAAACCACAATCACACTACACATCAAAAAAGAAGTTTCACTTCATTAACGTGCACCAAGTCTAAACTTCAATTCTTGCGGTTAAAAACATTAAAGTAGCCGAAGCTCCGGTTGTTGGGTACGGGAGAAGTATATATCGACGCTTAAAGGCAAACGTGACTAAGCGACAACGCGTGAACTTTACAGTAGACTAATTTAAAGTTGAAATACCTGAAAAAAAAATATTTTAACGAATCTAGCTGTAGGATTGAAATGGTTTTAATAGATCTGGAAATGTATTTTTTTTGCGCATAGAATATGGTTATTGCCTATCATTTATGTGCAAAACAGTTATTGTCGATTAGTCACGTTTGCCTTTCAAGCGTCGATTATACTAAACATATTAAAAAGATCATACGCCCCGAGTTGAACTATCTTGGTTAGCGACTACTACCTTCTAAGCGCACGTCTGTCGTGGACGGTAGGTGCGGGGGCGGGGGCGGGGGCGGGGGCGGGGGCGGGGGCGGGGGGCGGCAGGGCGGTCACCGCACGCGGCCGGACGGCGAGCGCAGGTGCGAGCGGATGTACCCGGTGCGGTAGTCGGTGGCGTCGCGCCCGCGGGACGAGCCGCCTCCTCCGCGCTGGCGCCGCCGGGACCATCTGTATCACATCAAATTATTCGTTACCTTTTTTTTTTCCTACCTAAGCAGATAGCCTTGAGAGGCTATTTTAGCTTCGCCCTAACGTGTGTAGGTGAGATCAGGGGGCTCAAACTGGAGTGTTGTAACACTGTCCCTAGCAAGAGCCGTGCTTCGCAGAATCTACCACCGGATCGGAAACGCGACCCACTGAGAAGATCCGGCGAGAAACTCAGTGGGCTGTGTCTAAGGGTTAATTCGCTCGTCGAGCCCTTCGTTGCAAGCGACGGGTTCAATGGGTACGGTGACCGGTGCTTGTGGTGCTTAAAAGCACCGTTAATGGATCGGGGAGATTCGAAATGACGTGCTTTGGTCGACGTCGACTGTTTACCATTCGGCCTACAGGAACGGAAATGCGATTTCAAGGATATGACAGCTAGTGAAGTCCATAGACATCTACATTATCTGCTCTGCGAGAGCCCAAGCGTTGGACTTCTTCGGATATCAATGAGCGACACTTCACAACTAAACTGTTTTTTTTTTAACTGCAACATTTAAAAAGCAGACAGCCGCACGTTCAATACGACCACGCGCTGTTCATCACCAAAAAAGTCAAGTACAATGGTTTTTTTTTTCATACATGTGTGGACGAGCTCACAGCCCACCTGGTGTTAAGTGGTTACTGGAGCCCATAGACAGCTACAACGTAAATGCGCCACCCACCATGAGATATAAGTTCTAAGGTCTCAATATAGTAACAACGGCTGCCCCACCCTTCAAACCGAAACGCATTACTGCTTCACGGCAGAAATAGGCAGGGTGGTGGTACCTACCCGCGCGGACTCACAAGAGGTCCTACCACCAGTACAATGTCGCGTAATACCTCAAGAGCCTCATGATGTAATCGGGCCAGTTGTCCGGGAGCATGACGAGGAAGAAGCCCACAACGATGAGCACGATCCCGGCCAGCTTCATACCTTCGAACTCAACCCCGTACAGCACCACGTCGAGCGCTGGAAAGTAACAACATGAACGTCGCACCCGGTGAGGTTCGAACGAGACAACGCCTTGGCTGGTGCCCTTGTCAATGTCAGTGTTAAAAGACGGCATATGTTTTGCAAAATGCTCCTTCGACTTTCTTGTTAATGAAAATAAAAATAAACGTATTACAAAAATGGAATAGAACCCGGAACTAAGTGTACCAGTGACTGATATACTTGTTAATAGCGCCGTCGCTTGTGCCTTTGTCAATATCAGTGTTAAGAGATGGCACACGTTTTGCAAGGTGCTCCTTCGAATCTCGTGTTATTAAAAATCAAAACAAACGTTTTCCGAAAAAAAAAAAAAAACTGGTACAGATCATGTGTCGCCGTCTGACACCAAACTAAGTGTACCGGAGACTGATATACTTATTAATAATGTTACGCCGGTAAGAGTAACGCCATCTATCGCCAAATAGCCGAAACGAATATCAAAGGATCTAGTAGTACCTAGAACGCTCGAGAGGCACAACACCATCTATTGTCAGATAGTGGAAACACACATCGAAAATACTCGACTTGTGAGGAATGTTCTCGATAATTCTAGGGATGTCGTAGCGACTATAAAAGCGTTGCAGACATGGCACGTAGACAGTAATCGGAACTAGTTGAAGCGAAACAGCTCGGCTCTCCTGAAGGGAAGCGGAAGAAGCGAATTAAGAATTTTAAAGTGTTCTGTGAGTGTTCTAAGTGATAAATACAGTTTTAAGTTGTACTTTGGTGGAACGTTTATTTATCCCGAACACCAGCGCGTAACAATAATACACGTTTACATGTATATACCTACCATAGACATTAAGCAGACCAGAAAAAAAACAGACCCACAGTAATCAGACACCTGTTCGTTGCAAAAACGTTTGGCTCCAAGTGGGAATCGAACCCAGAAGCCTCGGCTCAACAGTCAAAGTTCCGAACCACTGCATCACCGAGTCAGTCAATGTAATTTAATAACCTACAATATATTAGACTTACCCGCCGAGACAGGTACCGCTGTGATGAGTGCGAGCGAAACGAATATATTGTAAGTTATTATGTTTCCGAACTGGAATACCAAATGGAAAACTGAAAAAATATAAAATTAATATTTAATATCCTCAAAAACCATATAAATTTTCCATCACCTTTTAACATATTTCCGTGTATATACATAAATACCTAAATATATCTACAATAATTATAAAAATAACTATTTGCCCTTTCACGGAGAAAATAATTTTTTACAAATAAATAAATAAATTATAAAAGACGTAGAAGATGAGAAAATGGCAATTGCACACCCCCCTTCCCCGCCAGTGTTGTCGGAGAGTTATTTAAATGCGACATAAATAAATAGATCGGCACATCGGACCTAATACATCAATCCTGGAGGAACTAAGCATCTCCACAAGACTCTCCACCGCCTTTCTACGTAGGACTTTCGAATTTTTCGGTCAAGTTACGGGAAAAAGTTTGACAATCTCAAAATCCATCACCGACAAAGTGGAAGCAAATAGGGGTCAAGTGAGGGTAGTGCGCTGGTCCGATCAAAATAAGGCGACATAAGATTCCAGTATTAATATCGCTATCCACTAAACTAGCCTTTCCCAAAGTGGGCGAAAACGCTATCTTGTGGGCGCTGCAGGCCGAAAGGGAGGCCGTAAGAGACCCAGAAAAAAACAGGGGCGTTGTGTAGAGGCTTGAGAGGCGATTTGTAATTTCATCTAAGAGGACTCTTAGACACCGACTAAGTTCTCGGTATAGTGGTTTTTAAGTATTATTTATTCTCAAAGTGGGCAGTAGACAAAATAAGTTTAGGAACCCCTGCACTGGTCAGGAAAGAATCGAAGAGCATAGTCCGAACAAAAGTGCTTCGTAAAGGTCACGAAACTCGGCACTACGGAACGCGATGCAAGGAGGAATGCGACATAAACTTACCGAGTAAAGCGAAGCTCGCAACCAGCAGGTATATCCACGGCATCCGATGCGAGGGTAAGGTCTCCGTACCGGTGAGGTAGAGGGCTAAGCACACGGGCCACAGCAACGAGGCGTTCACTATGCCCAGAATCGAGAAGAACAACGCACGTTGACCATTGTTCACTTCGCCCATTACCTTCCTGAACAGCACCTAGGCGGGAAACGTTTTTTTTTGCTTAGATTGGTGGACGAGCTCACAGCGCACCTGGTGTTAAGTGATTACTGGAGCCTATAGACATCTACAACGTAAATGCGCCACCCACCTTGAGATATAAATTCTAAGATCTTAGTATAGTTACAACGGCTGCCCCACCCTTCAAGCCGAAAGGCATTACTGCTTCACGGCAGAAATAGGCGGGGTGGTGGTACCCACCCGCGCGGACTCACAAGAGGTCCTATCACCAGTAATTAAGTTTAATGTGACGACGGCGTGTCGAAGAATATGAACCGGAAATGTTTTTAAATGAGATTTAAAACTACTTAACGTCGCTGTCAAACCAAAATCTGCTATGAGCAAAAACTCTATTATGAATTAACGAGTAAAAACATTTTCGTATAAAATTTTATATGAAGGTGAATTTTTAAGAAGTAGATCAAATGAAAGCAATAGATAAATATTAAAGCTATAGACACAACAGTTTTTTTTTATACGGTACGGTAAATAGGGCTGTGAACTATACAAAAAGGTCAAAAAGTAAAATCTCAAAAAGTGCACATAGCAGATTTTGGTTTGACAACGACGATATACAGTTTTGTCGATGCACCGACATCGAGGTAGGTGGTACGACCTCTTGTGAGTCCGCACGGGTAAGTACCACCACCCTGCCTATTTCTGCCGTGGAGCAGTAATGTGTTTCGGTTTGAAGGGTGGGGCAGCCGTTGTAATTTATACGGAGACCTTAGAACTCAAATCTCAAGGTGGGTGGCGGCATTTGCGTTGTACATGTCTATGGACTCCGGTAGCATCTTAACATCAGGTGGGCCGTGAGCTCGTCCACCCACCTGTACAATAAATAAATAAAAAAGGAGCGGCGTAGGGTCCGTTGTGAAGACAGGGGCGCGGGGACGCGGTTCTACGTCGTGCGCTTTTTCACTTCAAACAGAAAGGCCACCCGCGACACTTGTTTAAAAAAAAATTAATAAATATTAAACCTATCGTGTTACACTCGACTCTTTCATTTAATAAACTTATCACTAGTCGATCTATCCCAAATTAGTCCAAAGCAGTTTAACCTTGCGTTTTTAAAGAAAATTGTAATTGTATTGTTTTCGTCGTTTCGAATACATAGGCGGCACTGAAAATTTCGGGAATTAACGAAGTGACACAACATTACTATTTAAAAATGTACTTATTGCTTTTCGAAGTATTCTCCGCGAAATTTGACATATTTTTCCATACGATGGAACCAATCATTGAAGCAACAATTCCATTCGGAAGTTGGGGTCTCCAAAATGGCCGTTTTGCAGGCGTCCACAGCTTCTTCATTTGATGAAAATCTCTGTCCACGCAATTTATTCTTTATTTTAGGGAAAGTATAGAAATCATTAGGGCTTAGGTCGGGGCTGTACGGCGGATGGTCTAATAATTCTATGTTTTCTTGCTCTAAAAACTCTTTTGTTCTGTGCGCGGTGTGAGAACTCGCATTGTCGTGATGGAGGATGATGCGGCGGTTGCAGTTCTCTTTACGGAGTTCAGAAACGACCTGTGGCAAACAAATGCTAGCATACCATTCTGCATTAACCGTTCTTTGTCCCTCAAGAGGAATAGTCGTAACATGGCCGGTTTTGGAGACAAACGTGGCCACCATTTTTTTTGCAACACTCCGTGAACGAACAATTTTTGTTGGCTTTAACTCATTTTCGAACACCCAAACTCGTGACTGGTTTTTTGTTTCGGGTTCGTACGCGTATATCCAGGATTCGTCACCTGATACAATGTTGTATACAGCATTTGAGGATCCTGCGTGGAATCTTTCGAGAGTTCTGACGCACCAAGTAACGCGAGCCGCTTTTTGCTCTTCACAGAGCGAATGCGGTATCCATCGGGAAAACAACTTTTTTACACCTAATTGTTCATGCAAGATTATTTGTATTTGACTCATGCCAATGTCTAAAGTTGCCTGAATTTCGCGGTATGTCACATGTCGATCTTCCTCAATCAGCTTACGCACAGCATCAACGTTTTCTTGGGTGACTGCAGTTTTTGGACGACCTTGACGGGGATCATCACTGAGCTTGACACGTCCACGTTGAAACTCAGCAAACCAGCGATAAATTGTGGTTTTGGATGGGGCTTCATCACCAAATGCAGAAATCATCCGGTCAACACACTGTTTTTGTGTTAAACCACTTCGAAAGTCATAATAAATCATCGCTCTTGAATTTTCTCGAGTCAATTCCATTTTCTCAACAACTAAACAAGTTTGACAAAACCTCGTGACAAGACCGAGAATCTTTTTTTAAATAAATAAATGGTATTCGATTTTTAAAACCAAGGAGTTTTCAATTAAAAAGATTTTAATATGACAGGAACAGTGGAAATATTCCATTCCCGATAGTTTTAGTGCAGCCCTCGTAATTTCATATTTTAACATAATGTCGAAAACGTTATTAATGATGTAAAGACAATAAAAAAGGCGAGATTATACCCGTAAAAGTTGTTTTAGTAATGTATAAAGATATATAATACATATATAAAACATAAAATATATAAAAAAAAATATAAAAGAATATAAAAAAACAGATCGCTATTCAAAAACAGATCGCTATGAGACATTAAAAAAAAAAGAGAAAAAAAAGAAGTAATGTATACTACCCGTGAAAACAGAAGAAAATACTATTATTATTTTTTTCTTTATGGCAATAGTTTAAATTTTATGCCAGTTTCCCAGTTTTATTATTCCCAACGAGGATAGTTGCCCGGGACCGGACCCGTAATTTCTAGTAGGACAGACAGTCACGTGAGATCTACTAGCTTAAGCCTGTCGTATGTAATATGTTGTATTTGATCAGATCGCATTTCAGCAAAAATATAAACATAAATATTATATTCATGTCTTAATGTAATTAAATCTATGATACTATAAACAAGTTTTTCAAACGCCAATAGCGTAACACGCACATTGGTTTATCACGCACGCAAACATTTTGAAGAAATGAAATGAGAATTAAAAAATCTATCGACCGACACAAAATAATGCGTACAGGTAGACACGGGTCAATTTATGCAAAAACCTATATGAAACCTTACATTGGGCTACAGTTAAATGTTTTGGATTCGGAATAGACATAATGGTACCAGAAAAGTTAAACTTTTATCATCATTCTCCTGCCCTTCTCCCAGTCTCTACCTTAAACCATTGCTTTGCTCACTCCCCTCTTACACATATCGTCTTTCACGCAATCCATACATTTCTTCTTAGGTCTACCTCTTCCTCTAATAAGAATAGTTAAACTGTATATTATTAAAAACCTGATTACTTTTCTCCCTGCCTAATCGTTGGTATCTTAAGACCAGCCCTAACAAATGCAGTGCTTCGCAGAAACTCAGTTGATTAAGTCTGTGGACTAGATTGCACGTCGGAATCTTGACTGTTGCATTAAGAACCTAAACCAACCTAGGATGCATCCGGGGGGATCCGATGACGTGCTCAGGGCGAGTTTGTATTGTCCCGGCGCCCGAGTCAGATATGTAGTCAAAAGCGGTTACGTTCAGAGGGTTATCGTAATGCGCCGCTTTGTCGAAGAATCCGGTTACTGATTGTAATTGTTACAAAGAATTCACATCACCCCACGCTTTGGGGTCGTGTCTGAGAGTTGAACCCATTAAGCAGATCATCTATTTTTAACACGCCTTTATTAGCTCCAGACGTTTTTTTTTTTTTTTTTTTTTTTTTTTTTTTTNCGAGCCCTTCGTCGCAAGCGACGGGTTCGACGAGAACGGTGACCGGTGCTTGAAGTACCTAAAAGCACCGTTAGTGGATCAGGAGGATCCGAGATGACGTGTTTAGGGCGACGTCGACTGCTTTCCATTCTGTCCGCAGGATCGGGAATGTAGTTACCGGCGGCCACGATGAGAGGGTTCTCGTGTCGTGCCGCTTTATCGAAGTGGCGCATGGACGCCGACTGAAGATACTTACTGATGGACTCTAAGTCCAGGTCGTCATGGAGGTCGACGTTCCTGACGAACCACGGGGCTCCGACGGCTATCCTGCAAAAACGGGATTGAATAATTTGAAAGGATTTTAAGTGTATGCGGGCCGCGTGAGCGAACACTACACTTGCATAGGTCATGACGGGGCGTATGCAAGTTTTGTAGAGTGTCACCTTATTTCTAAGGGACATTTTACTTCGCCTACATATCATCGGGTAGAGCTCCAGACGTATGTATGTATGTATGTAACGGAATCTTTGAACATGATTTTGACCGCCTTCAAAACGTCGGATTAAATCGACATTTGCGATACTTATTAAGGACCGATAACAATTCAATATTTAAAAAAATAATTTGAAAAATTGATATTCAACTAAAAAATTAAAAATAAATAATAGTTTAAAATAACTAACAAAATACGCTTTTATAGAAAACCGAACTAAAAAATAGAAAATAAATTTTAATAAATTTGAATTAAAAAGTGTAAGAAAAAATGATTTTATTGTATAATAAAAAAAAGCGTGGAGTGCATGGCATCAGTAGTTATAAATATTTTATGAACAGATATGAGTAGAAGGGTTATTTTGATTATATCCTGAAAAGCACCCCAGGCTTTTTTATTTTCTAAATTTTGAAAATTTATTTTCAATTTTTTAATTGGATTTTCTATAAAAGCGTATTTTGTTAGTTTTTTTTAAAACTATTATTTATTTTAACCAAACATCCAGACCGCGTTGAGACAGAACTCGAAAAGACATCAGTCCTTTCGACTGGCTTGTCCGGAGCGTTCTAGCTCAATACGAACCTTGAAGATGGCGAATCCTGCAGCAGCACACGCGGCGAGCACGACCCCGCCGAGGGTGGAGCTCCCGGTGATGCCGTCCATGTACGCCAGTAGAGCGATACCGGTGTCACACAGTATCGCGGCTACGATCTGTGTTCAATAATTACATCATTCTATGTGTGGCAATCACTTAATTCGTATTCACGTTTTGATTTTCTCGCACTAAGCACACAGCATGTGTCATTATGTGTATCAATGTATATAAGGGCTTATAAACTTTAGTAACTATATTAAATAAAGACGTCAAGTATTTTTAATTTAAATAAGGTGTAAGGGCCATAGAAATAAAACTAAATTAATTCGTTCGTATTAGCTTCGACAAGACTTCGAAGACTGTGCAATACAGCGAAGGCTGTACGAAAAAAGTCTCTTATTTTTGAATTGCTAAGACGGGTGGATGAGCTTACAGCCCACCTAGTGTTAAGTGGTCACCGGAGCCCATCGACACGTCAACAATGTAAATTCCGGTACCTATCTTGAGATGTGAGTTCTAAATCTCAATTAAATTATGGTAATTAAAGTATGGTTCAAACTCAAACGCATTACAGCTTCATGGCAGAAATAAGCAGGGTGCTTGTACCTACTATACCCATAAGGGTTCACAATACACCTTATCACCAGTAAACTTTCTCTCCTCTCAAATTCCATTTGAAGGTAAAGCAAAAGAAAGAAAAGTTACAAAAATAAAAATGAAGCTTTTAACATCAGCTCAACTATCAGTCTTTTAATGTATACTAGTGAATAGATATAATTCTATCAACATATAAAAACAACATAGTGAAACCTAAAGCCATAATATACCCTAGTGGATCTAAAGAACAAAAGTAATAAAATGAAATAATAAACTTACCCTGACACCGACAAACTGTTCATGCAATATCACCCAGGACAGCAGATAGATGCAAGACACATTGGTAGCAAACAGTGCAACTACATCAGTGGACAACAGGATCTTCAGGGAGTATGTATACATGTAGATGGTGACCACCCACAACAGACAGAAGAGTCCGCAGCGGCTAATAAATCTTGCTATGATTATGAAAAAAAAAACCTTTGAAGATTATTTAGTTTCACAATTCTTAATGTTTACATTAATTTTGTTAGTGACTAAAAAATACTTGTTAATAATTTTTGCCAGTGGTTTACTTTAAATCTTTTTCTACTTTATTGCATGAATAGATAAACGGGCTCACAGTTCAACTGGGATATTGGTGCCTGGAGCTAAAGACATCATAATGAGAATTCTGCCACCATCTTGGGACATGAAGTTTCAAGTCTCACTATGATAGGACTATGGGTGCTGTACATATGACTGGGTCACAGAAGAAATAACTGGAATCATGGTATTCACAAATGGCCTGCGGTTTTGATGTCATTCCTTATATTTTTATTTCAGTTTTGTCTCACTCCACTCCACAGAAGTTAGTATTAAAGCTTGAAGCATAACTTTTGCGGTAATAAAATAATGGCTAGTTTCATTGTTTATAATTAATTCCAATCACTTTATAAATTTGTAGGTTTATATTCTACTTGCAACTTTCTATTGTTTCAACTATGGCCATATGATCATCCCTAACACTCCTATGGAATTCCATACACAAATATTGAATAAAAACAATTCAGGAATGACTTTTTTCTAGCTTTGATTTCATAAAATTTTCATTCAAATCACCAATCACTTTAAAATTAAAATAAACTGTTATTACTACCATAATAATAAATAACATAAATCCTTACCAAAAGTGAATCCTTTCTCCTTGAAATCGCTGAATGCATCAAACACAACATCATTTGCCGATTTACATTTATTATGTATGAGCATCACAATGATGTACAGAGGATAGAAAAATATCAACCAGTTTGTGCAAAACCAGGCTGTGAAGAATGGTGCTTTATAAAGGTTCTGTTGAAGAAATGCAATCAATGAATCTGACTCATTACAGTAAACTGACATGCAAAATCCTAACCATATCTATTCTGAAACCCACTTGTATTCCAGTTTGTAGGGAAGGGCCCACCATTATAAATGAACATTCATTTATACTTCACCTACAGGTGGAAATATTTCAGAGCTCTTGTAACAACTTAACACCAGGAAGACAAATAAGCTCATCTGCCTGTCTGCCTTTATAAATTCAATGCTATTAATTCAAGATATTCCAAATCTTGTACAATTTTAAAACTATACTCATATCAATTTACTTAATTATTTTAATCTGTATAATGAAGACAGGCATCTGCCTCACCTAATAGGTGTAATTCTGTATCATGCTATTAGTAAAAAAAAAATATATATATTATTTTTTATTAAAAAGTTCTTATTTACTTAAAACTTACATTATGTAATTTATCTGTGCTATTGTTATGGAGTACGATTGTAGCAGCTTCGGTAGTATAAGTAGAAAAATAGCCACTATAAGGATATTCCTCTAGGTACAAATGTTTGATACAATGTGTCGTTGTCACCCATGATGTAGTTAGCGTCAGCATCACACATATGCCGTAGTAGATCTTTAAAATGAAAGCTAAGTTAAACAGCATTGTCATAGGCATGGGTAAGCATTACAGATCATATAAAGCTGAATAAACATACTTTTTTAGCAAATTTGGAGCAACACGAACGTGGGCACTTTTTATCACGAAGCTGGCGCTCTTCGTCTTGACTACTAGTGGCTGACTCGCTGTAAGCTTGTTGTAGTGAAGGTTGAGTTGTTAGCGGAGGCGCCGAACAAACGGAGGCCTGTGGCGTCAATGGAACACGAGGGCTGAGCGGCGTCGGCGGTCCGTTTGGCCTTTCTCTATCTCCATCAACGCAATTTCTTTCGCTTTCTACCACTTCTTCACTGGTTATTATCACCGAAGGCGCACGTACGCGTTTTGGATTGAAAATCGTGGGAACATCACCGTCCCTTGCCATGTTTACGTAAAAATCACTTTGGAAAATGAAAACATAATTTTCGATCCTCTTTGTTTTTTAATAACATTATTATTCTAATATTATTACCTACTCATTTAAGGATACAATTAAATCTCTTTTGTAAACATTGGCTCTATTTTACGAGGCGCGATATTTTTTATTTATTTAATACACAAAAATTTAAGACATTATTTAAAATTAAACAACTATTGTCTGTAATTAAATTTTAGCTTCTCGAAGCCATTTCCGTATTTATTGGATTTCTGCATGTTCCCATTTTGGCAAAAAAAAGAAAAATCAGGGTCTCTTTTAACGGTCAAAGAATTCTCCATAGATTAAACACTTAATTTATTTGAGAGGATTCTCGTTGATTAACCGACATAACTATTTACATTTGACATTAACAGATAACAGTGCAATTGACAATTGACAGTAGTACTAGTTCTATTTTTCCAACTGGAAAGGCAAAGATATCATACCATAATCCTAATCTTTATATTTTTTTAGGAAAAATGATAATATGAAGTAAAATGAAATGAAGTTAATTAATTTGAAACATTAATCAATTGGCATGAAATTATGCCAATCATATACAAAATAAAAATATTATATGTAATATAATTATTATATTATTTGTGTTGTTCCTGTTTGTCCGATGTTAGGGCATCCATTATTAGGATGAACAGTAAGAGCTTAAAGCTGATCCCTGGTGTAAGCCTATCGCGTCAGTATCACCAGCTGCGAAGCGTACGTACGAACGGGTTACCGTAAATAGTTCGAACAAGCCGCTGGTATTTCCCTGGCAGTCCTTTCACTTTCATGCTCCAGCACAGAACTTCACAGGGAGCCCCATCATACGCTTTTCCCAAATCAACAAATACCATGTGCACGTTTTTACTTGCACGGCGGTATTTTTCGCTCAATTAGCGAAGGGAAAAAATGGTGTCCGTTGTACTGCGTCCCGGCATGAACTCGAACTGATTCTATGATACCTCACTCTCCTCTCTCATTCTTCTCGTTATCACTTTGTCCCAAGCTTTCATACTATGTGACATGAGCGTTATTCCCCTATAATTGTAGTATACCTGTACGTCACCTTTGTTCTTAAATACAGGTACGAGTGAGCCACCACTCATCAGGCATGGTCTCTTCTTGGAGCAGTTTATTGAAGAATAATATCAGCCACGTCCATCCACCCGCTTTCAGAAACTTCCACACTTCTATTGAGATACCATTTGGTCCAGTAGATTTTCCATTTATCATATCTTGTACAGCCTTTTGTACTTCTTGCATACTTATTTCCCTTACTACACTAGCATTTATTGGAACATCGTGCAATAGAAAAAAAAACCATAAAATTCTATATTTTTCGTTAATTACAAGCTAGGGAGAATTGGAAATTCGCACGAGTAAGTATCGACCTACTGCCTATTTCTTGCGTGAATTAGTGATACGTTTTAGTTTAAAGGGAGCGACAAGCCGTATTACAATAAAATTGTTAACAGTATTTACATTAACAAGGACTATGGGCCCCGATAATATTAATAAAATATCATTCAATAGCAAATTAACCTTAATTGTAGAGTCATATGGAGCAAAATGAAATGAATGAAATTTTTGAGTTGAATTTGATCCGAAACTTCGGGCGATTTTTTCTGCAAATTCTGCCAATATAGTGTGACGCAACTGCAGCAAAATGACATTCCCACACAGTTAAGTAACACCACATATTTATTGCCTATTCCTGTTTCTGCCGTGAATCGGTAATGCATTGCGGTTTTGGGCAGTCATTGAACAATAGAACTGAGAATTAGAACTTATGTCTCAATGAGGGGGCGGCCTTTATGTTATTGATGTCTATGAGCTCCTTTAAAAATTAATATAAGGTTGATCGTTCAGTAATCTAAGCAAAAAAAAAACATTCCCTGAGCAGGAAGGCTAACGTACTACTATTACAAACTGGTAACCAACAGCATGCGTCTTCAACAACATGCATACCACCTTGAAGCACTTGCTAAGGAAATAGTATGGTAACTTCGAATGGCCCTAACTTTTAAACAGTGTAAAAAAAAATGTTAACAATAAAAAAATGGATAACTTTGTAAAAGAAGTATGAATTTGTGCAAAATAAGTGCCTGTATCGTAAGGTTATTTCTGTCGTAACTTAATTGTTCTTTTAGCTAGTTATGCTTGGCTGCCGTTTGAACTGCAGTATTCTGATTAATTTTTAATATTATTGAGTTAAAATATAGATTGGTACCTAGCATCTTACTGAATTTTGAATGGAATAAAATATTTTATGGTAAAAATATTTTTTATTATATTTTCATGATTATATATTTTTACATTTTCATATAATTGTACTTGTGTAAGAAAATCTTAATACGACTTCTGATAAACTTTAATGATTTTTTGGATCAAAGTACTATTGTATCAAGTCAAGAAACAAACTTATTGTTTATGGAACTTGTTTTTTACTTTTCTACAGAGATGGCGCTAACAAGTTCGCAAAACCAACACCAGAGGGAGATAATTAGGCTAGCCTACTTGAAGCATCCGGGAACCTCGCCATAGTATGTAGTAGACATGGCGGGTTTCAACCTGGCTAAGTGACGAAATAAATTTTGTTTGCTAATAAAATAACGTGTTAATTTCATATTAAAAGTGTTGATACTAAAAGACTATTTAAGTTATATTGGATTAGGACAAAGATGCAGAATGTTGGACAGTCTGAAAACCGAAATATCGATAAGGTGAATGTGCAACTTGATGTGGTAAAAACGTCTACTCCACAGAGTTCGGCTTCAAGTCCGGCCAAATCTGAAACTGAAACGTATTCAGGAGCTCCTGCCAAATATATGACAGACTCTTCGGAAAGTGAGGATGACTCCGTGTCTGAGGTAAAACGTGTTTTGTTTTGCGGCTGAGGCGGTGGCAGAGAGGGAATGTGATTATCTGTACCGCTCTAAATACTGCAAGGGACATTTTGAACAATTCTGCTCTAATCTGACGAACTATTTTGTTTCTGAAATCATTCTGCAACTTCGAACCATGCAATGAACCCTTGCGTAGCACGCTGTTAAAAAGAAATCGGTTTTACATTCATACAATACGTCGCTTGCCAAATATTCCATAAAACGTCAGAAAGTCATAGGTACATAGGTACTACAGAGAAATACCTGAAATTACTTGAGTCAATCGCTCCAAGACAGCGTAAACAATTTCATGTAACTCATGCGGGTTAATTTACCAGAGCCAGGCTCTTTTGTCTATTTTTGTTTTGACTAAGGGCAAACGTACGGTGGCCATGTTTCTCGAATCACATGCAATCATTGTAAATTTTTAAACGATGCATTTTTGATGTTTTTCGGTACGAATGGTGAATTATGTAAGTTTAGTTGTGCATCCGTGAAAACTGTCGTGTATAATGGGTACGACGTAAGTGTCGCCGCGCGTACTATCTGCACGTTACGCCTACTGAAATTCGCGCAAAAACTATTTGTACGTGAATTGCAAGGACCATTGTTTGTAATAATCACCGGTTTATGTCCTTATGCACCACATTGTCAGTACGTCTCATATGTTTCTCGTTGGTGTTCTAGATCTTGCTGGCTTGTTTGTGCCTTAGCAGGCCAGACCTGTTGGTAAGTCAAAATGACCCTACTGAGTGCTGAAAGCTTCACCAACAACAATCGCTGTGGCAGTTTGAGTGAAACTTACAAATAACCTGCATAATGTGTGTGCTATGGACAGTTAAATGTGCCATGTAATAATTATCTTATATCTATGTTGAATGGTCCTTGTGGTTCTAACACAATCACCTGTTTATATCTCCAGGATGTTAACCTCACTAACTCATAATACCTAAGCTGAAGCTCTGAACATTTTAACCAATTAACAGATATTTCATATTAATTTATAACAATACTGCTCTATTAACCTATTTTGTTCAGTTATTAACTTACTTAGCTGCATTTGTGAATGATTAAAAGTTTGTCATGAGTATTATTGATACACTGTCATTGAAACAATAAGATTTAGATTTGCCAATGCAATCTTCGTCATCACAAACAATGTCACTGTTCTATATGTTAGTTCTTTTCATTAACAAATGAATTAAACTTTATTTATTGATCTCTTTGAAATGCTTTTTACAAGAAAGCTGTATAAAGCGAAAAATAATTAAAGATTTTTTTTAATAGGCCGAAATGGAAGAAGAAAATGGTAGTACCGAGCCATCTAAGTTCCTACTCTCGCACGATGATCCCGAAAGAGCTGTCGATCCTGAAATGCAAGCCAGACTGGAAGCATTATTAGAGGCAGCTGGTAACTATTTTACCCTTAACTTACCGTGAATGAATTATAAAAAAGCACAATTGGTTTAAATTTTATGATTGACCCAAATTAATAAAGCTTCACTCTCATGAAATGGCAACAAGCGCTTTCATGAAACACTCAGTTGAGAAAAATGAAAATATAGGAATATCGGCTTCGTGTTGCACTCTCATTATTGGGTTTTCTCCTTAGTACTAATAACAGCAGTAACTTAGGTTTTATACATAATTATGATATATCACGAATAACCGATAACACTGAAGAATGGATTTTGATAATTCATGACAATCCTTATTTTATTTTCGAATAAAGTGAGACTGAATAATGTGACAACATTATTTAGTTATTTTTAAATTGCCTTCTATTGAAGTTTTGATTTCAATGTTTTCTAATTTGCATTCGGCATGGTCAAGTGCAAACACAGAGACAATCAATTTGGGTTTATAAGCTAGCACATTATACCATATTGAAAATAAATTGTATGGTCTGAATAAAAATCTTCATCATTGAACTGTGTTAAACTACAAATTAACATTACTTAAAATATAAATAAAGAGAATTTATTTCATTTTTACTAAAATTTACTGGATTCCACAGATTTCAGGTCAATAAACTTTACAGACCAACAAATTAAATTTAAAATGAATCATATCAATGAACACTACAAACAAATTCTGATATTAGTAAATAATTTCACTGATTTAAATATATTATCAAGTGAGCATAATAATATCAGTGTTGTTAATTTAGTATGCAAACTTCAAGGAGATTTTAACAAAGAATAAGTTTAAGTTTGTGTTCCTAATTCTTCTTTCCTTTTGCGGGCCTACTGGATGAGATTTCAACATGAAATAAGTAGTGCCCTTGTACTCTGTATCCTTATTGTCTTGTTTTTTCTAACAGCTGTAATATATAGTATAGTAATATAGTAAATAAATAAAATAAATAAAAAAATAAAAGAGTAGATCATTATAACCAATGAAAAATATAGGTGCGCTAATAGTGAAAATGTTCATAGGTGATTTTTTCATTAAGTTTCATGAAGTGATGATGTACAAATGCATGTGTTGATTGGAATTTAATGCTGGTTTTATACTGCTTATTTCATGATAGGGTATAACTGGACTGTGTTGTTGAAAATGAAATGTTGTGCACATAAGTGACTTTTCTATCAAGATCATCGATTCGAGGTAACCTCAGCATCTACCACCACACCACTTACCACTAGAGGTGAGTTCATCCATTTTACCTGGAAGTGCTGTGCTCATTCATTCACAGCCCATTTTTTAAAGTAATTGTCCCTGTTCGACTAGAGTATGGAATGAACCCCCAAATATTTCCACAGTACTATGGATTGTCGTACTATAAACAGGTTTTTAAAGTGGGCAGCAATATGACTGCTTCTTGAATGTCCAGCATGGGCTACCCACGATTGACCAGGTGACCATGCTCCTAGGGATTTAAGCTAGCTGACAGTCAAAAATGTAGTAAATTTAGCTGAGAATTTAGTATTGATTTTACAGAGCCCTTAATACCCACAACACTTCCTAACTAAAAAAAAGTAGCCAATCTGACTTCAATAGTGAAATAGTGATGTGATCATGGTTAATTTTTGTTTCTCATATTAGGAATCTATTATTCATGATGGATAGTGTAGTATCCATGACAATAATGCATCTGTTTTCCATAAATTGGCTGTACCACCTGACTAATCATGAACTATCAAAAATAGGTTGGACTAATCTATTGCAATACATGATATAATAGACTCAATTTCAGCCACTATCAGAAAATAAATACCATAACCTGACTTTAGTGTTTTACTCAATCAGCCAATCACGTGCTGTTCTGTGGATATATAGTTTATAATCTGTTTCTGTTAATCCACTATAACTTGTCCAGCATTACCAACAGAGTCAGCTATCTCCACGTATTACCTATTATTAGGTCACTGTTGCTGTATGTTTGAGTTTTTTATCCAAACCTTACCAATCAAAAATACAATAGAAGAGCAATTCTCCACAAATTATAATGGTCCTATATTCCTGTTATTTTACATATTATTAAAATCTTGTCTGTTTAGCTGTTTTCAGTATCCCCACATATTCTCAAATACAATTTTGTAAGCTTTTGGAGGTTTATAAATGTGGTTTAAATCATCTGAGATTACTCTGTAACCTGAACATTTCTTTGTTTCAAATTCAAAATACATAGATCCTTAGATAAGCTATCAAGTTAATAATATAGATAGGTAGAATATATTTTGGTAACAATGGAAAATTAATTAATGATTTCACAATAATTTATTTTGCGGCCAGCAGAATTAGGATGCCTTAGTCGATGTTGTCTCAAATAATTTTGAGAATTTATAGTCCCTTTACGTGAGCTCTGCAAGCACAGAGCCATTGTGGCTTTAGTAAAATAGGTGAATTTTACTGGATCAAAAAGTGCAGTAGTCTGAAGTGAATCCCTAGTAGTGGTGTGTTAGTGGGCTTGTTTTCATGTCTCCCGTCTTAGGCATACAGATCAGTGCCTGAAACTATTATCATAGCAACAGTTCCATTTTCCAGGCTCCTCTAGATGGAACTCACATAACGTATGCTTTAACTAACCATGAGTATTAAAACTCCATGGATAACCATTGTATTAATAAGCCCAATGTCTGGCTTATCATCTTTTGACATCAAGGATGATTAATACTTTCTCTACAGTCTGATTTCTGATTGTCAGATATGCAGTCTGTTTCCGTATTTATTTGTTTAGATCTATAAAGCTAGAGTGGTATACAATATACATAGTACGGTTACTCCCCTTATATTATTGAGTGAATCTAAGACTTCTGTTTCATGATGATTAGCAGTATTCAAATTGTGGTGCCTATAGGCTCCACAAACCGCTCCGCACCTGTTGGGCTATGAATTTGGCAGCTTATAGAAAACAACAAAAGAAGGTAAATTCTTCTAATGTCTCAAAGAAGAAAGCGGTAGTTGGATTCAGGGGGGTTTTGGTGGTAATTGATTACAGTTTTAGGGTCGCCCACTAGAATATTAGATTTATTTTTTTATTGCCCGAGCAGGCAGACGGTCGGACGACCCACCTGATGGTAAGTGGTTACCGTCGCTCATAGACGTCAGCAATGCCGGGGGCACAGCCAAGCCGCTGCTTTCCGCATAGCGACTAAATAATATTGAATTTCAGAATTAAAGTGAATAGGATCCAAATCTATTAGATGGAAATAATACGAACTTAAGTATGAAAACTTGTTGTACTCAATTTCATTAACTGCAATGAGAATTTGTGTTCCGATTTTTTTTATTTATTTGAAGATTACTATTAACTAATACGTTGGAAGTCCATTTGGCTGTGGGTCAAACAACAAAAAATGCACTTTGCGGCTTATGACGTCACCGCGCAACATAGTCTTGCGAGCGTGCGAATGTGAGATAGCTAGATGTTGAACTATGAATCCACTCTTTTATAAAGTTTTTTTCAAATATAATATTATTTGCTACAAAAAAATATTGAAACTACGATATATTTTGTAATTTATCAAATTTAATAAAATTTATATTTCACTCCGAAGTAAAAATAATGAAAAGTAAAAAAATATGCATAAAATCGAAAAGACTAAATTGTAATCACAATTTAAAAAAAAAACATGTTTTTTTTATATCAGAGAACAGAAATATTAAAACTATGTATTTTACGTAACAACAATAGAATATAAACTTTTGATTCTGGATTGTGATACATGTATTTTTTCAGACCGGTACATAACTTTTCATAAATCGATGGTTAAAATAAGCTCGAACGGCTTGTTAATATAATTAAATTGGAATTAATTAAAGTAATTATGCTATCGTACCAAATATGATAATATGACGACAATTATACCAAGAATATTCCTTTTATTATAAATAAGCTCGGGCGCATATTGTGTGGTTAATACGTGAATAGGCTTTTTTTTTTTTTTTTTTGTCAGGAGGAAATCGCCGGACTCCCACCCTCCACTGGGGATGGAGGGTGGGGCATGTCGGAGTCGAACCGACTAAAACCTCCTGTCGCTCAACAACCAACGTCCAACCCTCGCATGAGACAGAACTCATGAAAAGGCAAGGGGAGGAGAGTGAAGCGTTTAGTGCGGAGCACATCTCTCCCATCACCCTCCCCCTCGGGACGCCGGGCCAGCGATCGTCGGCGCCACGACCACCAGCCCTCTCGGTCGGCAGGCTGTCCGAAGCCCGCCTAGATGGCGCCGGTTTGAATTGGTTATCCTACGAAATACCCCGCTGGGTCAGAACCAGCGTGGGTCGAGGATAGCCGGCCTTCCATCACCCGGATGCTCTTGCGTAAAACGCGTGCAGAGCAGCTTGCACGTCGTCTTCTTAGGCCCCCTTCGCCGGGCCCCAGACCGACATATGAGGGGGACCCGAAACACTTAGAGGGCCAGGGCTAGGGCGAGATCCGCCTCCCTGGCCCCCGCTCGACGGCGGCGGGCTTGTGCGTCTCTCACGCGCCCCGCCGCCTCCTTCTGCGAGATGGTGCACTCGCAGAAGTCGAGCATCGCCTTCCACGACTCGTCGTTGCCGAGCATCGATGCCACAACACTCGGCAACGACAAGTCGTTTCCTATTTTTGCGACAAGGACACGGCGCCACCCCTCCCATGCGGGGCAGGCAACGAGCGTGTGCTCCGCCGTGTCCAAGTCGCAACCACAATGGTAACACTCTGCCGTCGGCTCGGCTCCGATCCGGTGCAGGAACTCACCGAAGCAACCATGCCCAGTGAGCACCTGCGTGAGCCGGAAAGTGAGGCGTCCTCTGTCACGATTCAACGTGAATAGGCTAGACAAGATTAATAACCATTTACAGCAATAAAAAAACTGCTGATTGTAGACATCGTGAGTAATTGTTCATTCGCTTTGAACGCTAGTTTTAAAGAGCGAAAGGACAGATGACGCAAATCTAAGCTTAAATATTATACTTTTGAGT